CAGGTTGCCTGGCAGGGTGGTTGGAGCTGAGGTGGGTGTAGGCTGGGGACTCCTGGGATGCTATATGCAGGGGGTGCCCTGGCATGATTCTCCTTTTTTTTTTTTAGATTTAATTTATTTATCTGAGATAGAATGAGCAAGAGAGAGAACACAAGCAGGGGGAGCAGCAGGCGGAGGGAGAAGCAGGCTCCCCACTGAGCAGGGCGCCCGATGTGGGACTCCAGGATCATGACCTGAGCCGAAGGCAGCCGCTCAACTGACTGAGCCACTCAGGCACCCTGTTTCTCCTTTTTTTAAAGTCCTATTTCTTATTCCCATTTCCAGTTTACCTTTCTTCACTCGAGGCTTTTCTGGATTGGATGGGAATGAGATTGAATTTCTTTGTCCTATGTACTTTCTTACCACATTTTAGGTTGTGGTTAGTGTCTAGAAACTTAACTAGAAATGAAAATTTTTGGTTAAAGATATAGTAGGTTGTATGCAAACATCGATTCCACTAAAAGAGTAAAGTTTAAAACAAACTTGAATATATAAAGCCACAGGGAAAGGAAGAAGTGAAAGGATGAGCAACAAAATTTGGTAACTAATAGGGAATGTTGTATATAACTTAGCAGACGTAATAGACCCGAATGAGAGATTAGTGTAATAGTGTCAATCTACTCTAGAATAAGAGCATATTGAAAAATGGCAGAACTGAATTTATATATCCTGTAAACATACTGAAAATCCTCAGCCTTCTTCCGTTGCTCAGCTCCTAGAACGTGGCAGAGCTTGGCCTTTACCCTCCAGGTCCAAGATGGGAAGAATCTTTAGGTGATCGGACTAACTCATGAGGATAGATCTAAAGATACTGACATTGGTGGTTCCTCAGTTAAATGGCTCAGCCTGATGACTTACTTTAAATGGTTCCTGATAGGGACGCCTGGGTGGCTCAGTAGATTAAGCATCTGCCTTTGGCTCAGGTCATGATCCCAAGGTCCTGGGATCCAGCCCTGCATCAGGCTACCTGCTCAGCGGGGAGTCCGCTTCTACCTCTCCCTCTGCCTGCTGCTCCCCCAGCTGTGCTCTCTTGCTCTCTCTCTCTCTCGCTCTCTCTGGCAAATAAATAAATAAAATCTTTAAAAAAAATTAATAAATGGTGCCTGATAGTTTGACAACCTTCCTAAATAGCTTTGTGGTCTGTCACTTAAATGTGAACATCTGAATAGGCCTCTTAACATGAAAGGTAGAGCTTAAAACTAAAAGAAAAAAGAGGAACTGGGAAGAATCAAACTATGCAGGTAGAGAAAACTTAAAAAAAAAACAACCCATATTGATCTCCTTAGAGAGGTAGAGTTTTACAATCATTGAATAACAGGATAATCTATAAAAGCATAATCTAAACAGTTAAAACTAGCATTTGGAAATTAAAAATATGAGAGCAAAACCAAAAATCTTAATAGATGGTTTGCAAAATAAAGTTGAGAATGTTTCTCAGAAGGTGGGGGTGAGGGGAGGAATCAGAGGTAGGAAATACCAGAGGAGAGTAAAGAATCATGAGGATCAGTCCATGAGGTCCTTTAACACTGAGGGATGTGTTTCCAAATAGGCAAGGTCCATTGAATGGCCAGTGCAGTAGATAAAAAATAGACAACTGGGAAATTTCAGAACACTGGGGACAGAAGGAAAAACCTGAAATCTTCCAGACTGAAAAAAATACGCCAAAGGAATCCGAATGGCTTCAGTCAGTATCAAAATTGGAGGCTGACAGGAGACAGCACTGTCTTCAAAATTATGAAGGAAAATGATTTTCAACCTAGAATTCTTTATCTAGCCTAAATGTTAAATATGAGGATAAAGATACTTTGAGATACAGAATGTATCTGTATTTATCTCCCTTGCATTTTTCCTCCAGGAGGTTTGGGAGGATATACTTCAAAGGAAAGAAGAAAGAAAATTGAGGAGAAAGAAAGGATACAAGAAACATGAAATCTAATAGGATAGAGGCCTAGGGAACCATGGGATGCCGGTGAAAGGACAGCATAGGATGATAGGTGTGTATCAGGTGTAGATGACAACTACCTCAGATTGGAACAGATCAGAAGGCTCAAGGATATTCTTCAAGATGAAATGGTGTGTTTGAATTAATATCTGAGAAAAAAATTTAGGAAACTAGTGGAATATTGAATTAGTGACAGGTATGATAGAGAACACAAAGTAAATGCAATGATAAGACATCTATTAATTATGGGAAGAACGAAGGATTGTTCAGGAAAGGAAAAGTAATCCTAGCTTACCATGTAGCTTAGTTGTGAATTGCATTTACAGAGTCAGAGTAATGTAAAGACTGAATGCTGATCTAACTCTCTGGTTATCAGTGGGAGTGATTTTTGCTCCCCTCAGGGAACATTTGGTAATATCTGGAGATCTTTTTGTTGTTACACCTTGGTGGGGAGTGCTGTTGACATCTAATAGGTAGAAGCTAGGGTTGCTGCTGGACATCATCCAGTACACAGGAAAGCTCCTCTCAACATAGGTACCTTCTTCAAAATGTCAGTAGTGCTGAAGCGGACAACCTAACCAAAACTGATAGAATTTTGTTGGGTGGGTGGAGAAATGAGAAGGCTGTGTAGAATGGGAGTGGGAATAGAGTGAATTCCATAGTGGAAATAATGCCCCAAACTGAGAAAATAAATACCAGAGTTTATTTTAGAGATGTGTTAAGTAAAATAAAATCAGACAAAAGAGGGTTAGTTTTTTTGTATTGCTGTTCTGTTTTACCACCCACTGGCCATTCTGAGACTTGGGCATTGGTCTGTCTCAGAGTTGAGCTCACAATGTTCGTGGTGTGTTGTTCGTAGTCTAATCCGAACTTGTGTAGCTTGGGGTTGAGCCTTAGTTCATAAATAATTTCCCAGGACCATTTTCCTGAGCTGCTTCTCTTTTGCTATCTTCCTGCTACTAATTGGCTCTTTAGGTCTGTCCTTTTGGGTTCTATAGCCAGAGAGCCACTCTGGCACACACTTCACGTGTTCACTGAGACCGAGCAACTGGAGGTTAGAAGAATAAAAGCAGTGGAGATTGGCCCTACTCTCTTGGGACCACACAGTTCTTATGATTCAAGAGGAAGTTTCCTGTCCCTTAGAGTTTTAGCCTCTGTGGGTCTCTGTTAAAGCCACTGTTGCAGCCACCTCTAACCATGATGGTATTGCTTGGGGGCTGGGGCATGGGAGAAAGGAGAAAAGAAAGGAAGAATTTTCCCCACTATCTCCAAGTCTTAGGAGATGTGCTTAGACTCCTCTCTCAACCCTTGAGGCAAAACTAGAAGGTTTCTGGGGCTCTCTGTCCCTGCTGGTGCTCACCTCCAAACCCCAGTCCAGCTAGGCGACACTGGAGGGTGGAAAAATGGTAAATTCACTTCGAATACTGTCTTCCCCAGTCTTCCTGCTACTGTTTACTTTTCACAGTCCTCAGATAGCTGCTCTATGCATTTTGTTAAGGTTTTAATAGCTGCATTTTATGGGAGGGAGAGAGTGGAGTGTTTGTTTCATCTAACCAGACTAGGAACCTATGTAAGCATTTAAAAGATAAATTATGACTATCAGTGTGTCACTTTCAATGTATATGTCAAACAGTTTGCTATACTATGGGAATAAAAATATACAAAGATAGAGTACATTATCTCAATGAACTAATTTGGAGGAGTTTGTGGACAATAATAGTAAAAGCCACATGATTGTAAAGGAGTGGGAGTCAGAGAGTATGTAAATCTGTTCAGAGGAGGCTGGTGTATCTACATAGGAGAGTAGTGTTAGTCATGAAGGACAAATTAGGAATTTGCTAGATGGACAAGGGAAAGGAAGTATATATAGTATATGGACGATAGTTTAGGACATTTCCAAGAATTTGGTATCACTGGGTATAAAGAACTCATTGAGCAATCTTAGAGGTTGTGCAGGTGAGCAGGGACTGGATCTCAAATGCCATGTAGAAGAGTTTTGATTTTTGTATCTTAGCTAATGCCATCAGAGTTTCATGTTACACATTTTATTCTTAGTATATGTGCTGTTTAAGCTCCCTTTCCCCATAGTTTTTCTATACTGAAATGTAGGTTATTGTACCTATTTGTCTTACCATTTACATATTCATTCCCCTATTGGAATGTTACATTTTTATAATTTAAAAGCATGTTTTTGAGGTTGATTTGAAACTTGGAAACCACCAAGAACATTTGCTAGTGAATAGTGTGAGTGATCAAGCTGGGTGATACTAATTTTTAATTTTTTTAAAATAACTCAAAAAACCAATGGATTTCTTTTATGTAGTTCAGTCTGTCTCTTGAGGTCATTACCAAAATAGGCTATGCAGTGGAAGAAGCAATTGGTAGTTGCTTAATGAGTGCTGAAAATCCCGTTCACTTAGATTTTTAAATTCTGACTTGTTGCACAAAGAGGGGTTCGTTATCTCAATCACATACAAATAATAAAGAGTGTACATTTATACTATATATATAAACTATTTCTCCAGCTCCCTTCAAATGTACTTGGAAAAGACAATTTAGGATTTTAAAAAGTGAATATACTTTATTTTGAACTCAGGTTCTGCAGATGAGGTTATTTGAGAAGTCTAGTCTATTAATGAACAGTTGATTTCTTTAATGTCTCTTTGTAATACTCTAAATGTGGAGATTAAGCAGCTAACATCTTTCCTGTTTGAATGAATGAATATATTTGTATATATTCTTAGAAGGCTTCTTAAAAAAATTTGATTATAGGGGAGATACCTGTGGTCAACTGTTTTCCCAGCCTCCTCTTCCCTGTGCAGCATTGGTGTCATAGTGGTGAGCATAGCTGCCTTCCAGACTCCTCTTCCTGTAGTAATTTTCCCCAGATTTTGCTTCCTTGATCAGCTCTGCTCTTGGTCCCTTTTTTATGTTGGTGGGTCAGGGGTGAAGCAGTTAAGTAGGTTAAAATCATTACCATTTGTAAATGTAATTTTAACATGTTTTTTGTTTTTGACAGCCGATTTATTTTGCATATTCCCAGCGAGGAAAGAGACAATGCTATCCGAGTGTGTTTTCAGATTGAACTTGCCCATTGGTTTTACTTGGATTTCTACATGCAGAACACACCAGGATTACCTCAGTGTGGGATAAGAGACTTTGCTAAAGCTGATATCCTTTTTATAATTATAATGACTCTCTTTCATTATTGCTAATAACATATTTTAGCGCAGATTTCCTTTTGATCGTCTTTGAGATTTAAAACTTAAGTAAACATACTTGATTTCTAAAAATTGTCATATATGAGTAGTAGGCAGAACTTAATACTATTTTTATTTTTATGTAGAGGACCCCTTGAATATGCACTGATGATTAGAATTAAATTTTATTTTCTCTTTCAGAAATAACTAGCCTATTTCTAGAACTGATCTGTTATTTTTGCTTTCTTCTTGCTGTTCCATTTAATCAGATCTTTAATCAGATCACTACCTTTCTGGGATAGAAATTCTTAAATAATTATTGAATACTTCATATGTTAAAAGCAGTGTTTTTAGTTTTTGTGGCAAATACAAAGAAGTCTTTGCTTTTGAAGTTTTTTTTTCCTCTACAAATAAGACAAGCTTGTCAGTTATAAAGGATACACTTGGAAATTTAAGATTATTATTATAATTATTTTTAAAGATTTATTAGCGTGCACGAGTGGGGGAGGGGCAGAAGGAGAGGGGGGGAAATCTTAAGCAGACTCCCTGCTGAGTGCAGAGCCTGACATGGGGCTCAACTCTGGCTGGGTCCCATGACCTGACCTAAAAATCAAGAGTTGGATGCTCAACCGACTGAGCCACCCAGGTGCCCCCAAAATTTAAGATTATAAAAGAAACTATGTCACAAGGCAAAAAAATCGATGAATTGCTAATAATTCTAGTATTAAATGTTTTTAGAATTTAGAGATTATTTTTTTAGGCAAAGCTATATTTGTAAGGGAATACAGGATTTTATAAAGAGACAGGAGTGGGGAGTATGTTCCACATAAAGATATCTTGGGAAATAAATTAGTTTGTATTGAGCAGACAGTTCTTATGGGGATACAGTAGGAAGTAGAGATGGCAGGTATATAGGGGGGATTTGTGGGTTCTTAAATCTTGAGCCAAAGTGATTTTTATCCTGTAGGTCATTGTTTTTAACTATGAATCATGTATTCAAAAGCAGTTATACCCACAAATTCACTGTACTCTGCTAGAATTGGAATAAGAATGAAAACAACCCTTGTACTCAGCTCCCTATAATTTTCCTTGAGCTCCATGAAATAAGGACCCCCCCTACCCCCCCAGGTCACTGTAGAAAATGGACTGAAACACTGTTTGTTCTAGACAACTGTTAGCCATAAAACATTACTGAGCAAGGCTAAGGAATATTATGCAAATCATTTGAAAATAGTATTCAAGAAGACTTACTTGGCAGGATAGGTTAAACCATAGGATGGGCTGTCAAATTACTTGAGATCGTAGCAATAAGGTCCTAAGCCATAGTAGAGGGACTACAAAGAAAAGACTGAAGAGACATGTCAGTGGCAGAAATGATCAAGCTGTTTGATTAAATATGAAGACGTAAATGAGGAATCAGGGAGAATAGAAGTTCTATTGAACATTATCTTTGTTAAAGTCTTGGTCATAGATTTCTGTGGAGAAATCATGGATGACTTGGCTTTTAAGAAGCTCTAATTTAGGTATAGAAACATGATCAAAACAGGCAGATCCTGTTTGATCTATTTTGCACAGACAGCCTTCTACCATAGCAACTTTACATACTTTGGGGTTCTGGATAAAATTTTGTGTGTGTATGCACATGAATTTTAAACTTCCCTTGCTATTAAGAAAATAAACTTTTGTTTTAGTTATGTTTAATTTCAGTTGTATGGAGAAAAAGCTTTTATTGCTGATGTGATTTCATTAAATAAGTGGGTGCTTACTTGATGCCAGGCATTATGTAGTGAACAATGTGGATTTGGTCCCTATTTTCAAGAAAATGAAAGGAAATTGTTAGTGCAGTATGGTAAGTTATGATAGGGTACTGAAAGGCATAGAGTAAAAGTTAATAGCATGAGTTCTGGAGCCACATTCCTTGGGTTAGCATCCCATCTTTGCCATTTACTTGCCGTGGAAGCTTGGGCAAATTGTGGATCTTTTCTGTTAAGAATTTTCTTTTTTTATAAGTTGTGTGTAGTCTTGTGATTTGTTTTCAGTACTCCGCAAGGTGGGTATAGAACTGGGCATGCTGGGTTGAAGTTTTGCTAGGGAGCTATGTTCAGAGAACAATGGGGCAAAGGGATTTTGGATATTGCTAAGAGGTTGATTAAAGTGGTGGGCCATATTGTTTGGGGCAGAAAAAAAAGCAGCAGGGTGTTAATGCAGAGAAAGGAATACAAAGATTGATGTAGAGTGGTGGTACAGTGTGAGTAATTAGAAGAATGCAGTAGAAGATTATGGTCATGACGTTTTGTTTCCGACCAAATTGCTGGAATAGTTACAGTGATAGCAAGGTCTAGAATGTTGCTTTGGGAGTTGGGCTGAGAAGTGGGAATGGATAGGACAAGGAATACAAGGAACTGAGGCTAGAGCTTGAGATGAGTTGTCCATGAGGAAATTTGTATCATCCAAGATAATGGTAGGAATTTGGAGGGAGATTACTGTCTAAATGATTGTTTATGCCTAGAGCAGATTTTTCATGTTTATGCAAAAATGTTAGTATAAAAAGAGAAGGTAAAAAAAAAATACTGGATTTTTTTTTTAAAGAATGTATATGATACAAGTGGACATGTGCTTCAAATTCTTTATCTAATCAGTGTAACCTATCTTTTAGAACTACGGTTGACCCTCAAACAATATGGGGGTTAGGGGTCCTGACCTTCCTTGTAATAAAAAGTGTGTATAACTTTTGACTCCCCAAAACTTAACTGCTAATAGTCTTCTGTTGACTAGGAACCTTACCAATAAAATAGTTGATTAACTCCTATTTTGCACGTGACATGTATTATATACTGTATTCTCACAATAAAGCTAGAGAAAAGAAAATGTTATTAAAACCATAAGGAAGAAGAAATACATTTACAGTTTTGTACTGTACTTACTGAAAAAAAATCTGCATATAAGTGGACCCATGCAATTCAAACCTGTATTGTTCAAGTGTCAGCTGTACCGTGTAAAGGCCTAGTAACTCAGATTCAAGAATCAAAATAATTTGGGGTTTAAGAAAATACAATAGTCAAAAATTTTAGTAAAAATTAGAAATGATAACATTAGTGTGTCTTAAAGGATTTTTTGAATTAAATACCTTATCTCATTAAATAAAAACGGTATTTAAAAAGTTTCCATTCCCATGTTTGAGTTGAATTACTTTTTTTTTTAAGATTTTGTTTATCTGAGAGAGAGAGAACACAGACAGGGGGGAGGGGCAGAGGAAGAGGGAGAAGCCTGCTCCCCACTGAGCATGGAGCCCAAGGAGGGGGGCTCTAGCCCAGGACCCCAGGATCATGACCTGAGCTGAAGGCAGACACTCAAGAGTGAGCCACCCAGGCACCCCTGAATTGAATTACTTGTATGTACTATTAAGTATGGAGGATGATTGAAAAGTTGTCATTGGGGAAATTGATACCATGTTGGACTGGGTTCTGTTACTTGCTAATTGTGTGGCCTTGAGCAAGTTTTTTTGTTGTTGTTGTTTTTTAAGATTTTATTTATTTGTCAGAGAGAGAGAGGCAGGCAGCAGGAGATGCAGGTTCACCACTGAGCAAGGAGCCTGATGCGGGACTCCATCCCAGGACGCTGGGATTATCACCCAATCCGAAGGCAGATGCTTAACCAACCGAACCACACTGGCGTCCCCTTGAGCAAATATTTAACAGGTTCTTTTCAGTGTTAATTCCAAGTATATCTTGAACTGTAGTTGGATGGTTCAGTCAACTCATTTTGTGGTGGTTTTCGGGTAGAAATAATGGGAAAATGAAGAATGTAAATGATTTCCAAAATTAAGTCAGTTCATTTATAATTTCTCTTGTTAAATCTTTCTCCACTACTTTGTGGAGACAGTGATGTACCTTGAGATTATTAGGAACATTGTAGATAAAAGAAAGAGGAATAACTGGATAAGTATCCTACTCTCTGAACTGTTAGGAGTTATCTCTGCTCCTGGTGTATTTTTATGTTTTCCTCTGGTAAAACCTTTTTTTTTTTTTAAAGATTTATTTATTTATTTATTTGACGAGAGAGAGAAACAGAGACAGCGAGAGGGAACACAAGCAGGGAGAGTGGGAGAAGGAGAAGCAGGCTTCCCACCAAGCAGGGAGCCCGATGCGGGGCTCAATCCCAGGACCCTGGGATCTTGACCTGAGCCGAAGGCAGATGTTTAACGACTGAGCCACCCAGGCACCCCTGGTAAAGCTTTTAATGGAAGAAATAAACATTTATTTAAAATTTATATGTAGATTCACAAAAACCTGTGATGATTGTAAAACACATAAGGGGTTTTAGTAAACTTTTTTTTTTTTTTTTAAGATTTTATTTATTTGACAGAGACACAGCAAGAGAGGGAACACAAGCAGGGGGAGTGAGAGTGGGAGAAGCAGGCTCCCCGCTGAGCAGGGAGCCCGATGCGGGGCTTGGTCCTAGGACCCTGAGATCATGACCCGAGCCGAAGGCAGATGCTTAACAACTGAGCCACCCAGGCACCCCTTTAGTAAACATTTAAAGCCCGACTATTATTGGGAAGTACCTTTCCACAATGTTAGCAAGCCCGTAGAGAATTGTAGGGCTTCATGGAATGGTTGATGTTGTATCCAAACTTTATTCCTTTTTTCTCTCTTCCCCAGTTGAAAGCATTATATTGAGATTATATTAATTATATTGAGGTTAACCTAGTGCCTGTCTTAATTATAATGTTGTCATAGATGGTTGACTTCTTTGGGCTCTTTGAAGGCCTCTGTAGTTTTTACTACAAATATAAAACCAAAATAAAATTTTAAATACAAAGCTTATAGAACTTAAAATATGTTTTTTTTTTAAACCAACTAGCTGCCAGTCACAATGTGAATATAATGCTTCTTTGAGGATATTTTGATGTGCCTGTACTACCAGTTTTTGCACCACCTTTCTTTTCTATATCTGTTAAGAAACCTTTTTTATATTGTGCTGGGATATCATTTGACCCTAATGCATCATTTGTGTATTAGCTTTCTTCTGTTTTTGGTAGCCCACAGCAGCTAAAGTAGTACTAGTATCAGTATGGTCTCTGAAATCAAGTTGTAGTACTTGATATATGTGGTCATCCAGATGATTGAAAATATGCTCATATTACATGTTTTTAGGTTAACATCAAAATAAAAACACAGAATATATGTTTTCATAGAGGACTTGAGGACCCTTAAGAATATGTCCTTCGTTTGAGAAACACTCATAAATTATAATTTTTCTCATATTTTTCATAATTAACCGTGTTGTAGTGATGAGGCATTTGATAACATGGAGAATTGGAAGCCTGACCACATACTTTACAGGTTTAGGTTTTATTTACTTAAAAAATAAGTTTTTACACTGCCCAGTATGGGGTGGGGGGGGCCATGCCCAGTTTCTTTTGAAAGAAGCTGTTCTTTCCTTAATGCCCAGATTTATCTTTCTCTGTAATTTTTTCTTTTTTAAGATTTTATTTATTTTTGAGAGAGAGTTAACAATGACTTGTTCAGGAGAAAACAAATGTGGGAGAAAAAGCAAGGAAGAACTTAGGTGAAGACTTGAGTAATTTAATATAAAATTCATAGTTGATTTAAATAGGTTTCTGTCTGTATATAATAAGTACTCAAGCTGTATTTAGAGAGAAAAGAGCTTCCTTAACACTATGTATACTCTTCAGTCATTGTCCATTTTTGCTGCCTCAAGGTGAAGATGTGGAAAAAATTTTGGATGAATGGAAGGAATATAAAATGGGAGTACCAACCTATGGTGCAATTATTCTTGATGAGACACTTGAAAATGTGAGTGTAATAAAAGATTTTTAGTGCAATGATCAGCTGTTTTCATCTTATTAGTGAAATTTTTGTGTTTTATTCTGAACTGAGGTTTTATTTTATTTATTTATTTTTTTAAAGATTTTATTTATTTATTTATTTGAGAGAGAGAGAGAGAGAAACAGCATGAGAGGGGAGAGGGTCAGAGGGAGAAGCAGGCT